TATATAGCGTTGTAAAGAACCGACCAAAATAAATCGTAATGTAAACACATATTGATTCTTTTTCCCCTCTTTGGGTCAATGGCACTGAATGCAAATATTTAAACTGATTGTAGATGTGAATTTACATAAATTAAACCGGCCTTTCCTTTTCATGATAGTCAATTACTTTTTGAAGCGCGCGTTTGAAATGAATGAAACATGCATATATTTTAGGCTTTACAAATGAAATTTAAAAAATCGGTAATACCTATACATCGCATCTCCCATTAAGAAGAACTACTAAAGTTTGAACTTACCCCTAAAGTTTTTATATCTAGTTGGGCTCACTAAAAAAATAGGATTCACCTTTCAAAACTGAACTAATTTTATCTGGGATTTCAGTTTATACTCTTTATTTGATTTAACTAATACAATATGCGCTCATGTATTCTCCCGCCAGATTTCTGATTTGCCGGGCCGCCGATCAACGAATGTTTTCAGGAGCGCCCAAAGCCGCTTCATCTTCTCCTCCTGTTCTCCAAGGTGACCTCTAACTGTCCCTCCAGTGAAAAGGAGAGGCGTAGCTTCGATCAATGAAACCAGCAGCTTCGTTCCGTTTCGCCTTATTGAACCGAGAGCGAATGACTGTATCGGAAAATATTATAAACATACGTAACGGGACATTTTACACCACATGCCGCAATAAATTTATACGCGGGTTTTTTGACCTAAAAAAATGATGCGCTACGTGATCTGGCCAAGGTACGAAGGTTCTGAGAATGGGTTGAGTAAATTTGTGCAATTTTATGCAATTACAAACATTCATATAAGCGCCAAATTATCTATTTGACGAAATCTAATTGCGGGAGTTTTGATCTCTATCCAAAAGGTCAGTAATTTCAATACATTCTGTATAATACAAATTTCCTGGGTTTCAGACCTTTTAGTCATTTATTTACTTCGCTATTACAGTTTATTTCATTCTTCTGAACACGTTTCGGTGGTTTGTCTTTCCCCCATCATCAGTTGACTTAAAATCACAAATAGTCAAAACATTTTGTCAAATAACAACACAACAAATAATGTGACCGTTGAAACAAATTTTCAACGGTCACATTATTTGTTGTTAAAATATTAAGACCTGTTAAAATTATCTAAAAATTATTTAAAAAGACTAACTGGTGAGGAACCAGGAAGACAACATTTAGGAACAGAGCCAAATTCATTTTACAGGGTTATTCACGCTATACGGCACGGACGTTTGCGGCTAGCCCGTTTGTTTTTTGCAAAGTATTATTTGATGAATCCGCAGACGCCTATTGGGTGCACATTTTAAAAATATTTTTGTAATGTACAAAGTGTCCCAAAAGCCCTAAAAGTATCAAAATAAGTGTTTGTTTTAATAAGATTTATAATATCTAAATCTAATAGCTATTTATGTACCAAGGGCGTTACGGACCTTATAATGCCCTGAGGGCCGAACTAGCCCGAGGGATAGGTTTCGGCCTGATGGGCATTATTATCTCCGTAACGCCTGTGGTGCATACAATGCTTTATGTTTCACCTAATAGCCTTACCATTTAAAAAAAAGTATATTTGTACCGGTTTGACGTAATTTGTTAATTTCTGATTTTAATCTGACGTGACTTTGACTCCTGTCAATGAGCAGTAATTTATTGCATAAAATGGAAGAAATTCCAGAAAATATTATAAAAAACGCTGCAAAAGCTACGGAA